TTTTCGTTTTCTTGAGTAATTATCAAGTTAATTTTAGTTTTATTTGGCTGAATTTAGGTCTTACTAAGTGTCCTTGCTTTGATTTTGTTGCGATTTTTGCTTGATTTTCGTTTTCCTTTTCGTTTAATTTGTTCTGATTTTAGCTCATTAATTTTAGGTTACTTTGTGTCGATTATCTTTTAGTTTGTTTTTTTTTTGTTGATTTTAGTTTTTTTCGTTTTTTTGAGTAATTATCAAGTTATTTTTAGTTTTATTTTGTCTGAATTTAGGTTTTTACAAGTCTTCTTGCTTTGGTTGTGTATTTGAGAAATTATGTTGTGGTTTTGTTGCGATTTTTGTTGCTCTATTGTTTTGTAGAAACTTTACAAGAGCTTCGTGCAAACATTAAGCGGTTGTTTGGAGGGAAGGGGGGGGGGAGGTGGGAAGTCAGACCGTGGAGACACTCAATTTTATGACTGTTATGATTGATGACACTCAATTAAACTAATCCTTCACCTGGTTTGTAAACAATAACCTGAAATTGGAGTAAAATGCTGGGACAACCTAAAACTTTCATTTCTTCAAAGGATTCTTATTACTTGTTTATACTTTAATATTTCCTTCAGATTTTAATGATTGATGATCTGTTTGTTTGTTTGTTCTGTAGCTTATATAATATTTGTTCTATAACCTGTCGTATGTTGTTTCACAATGGTGATTTGTTTTCATTTTTCTTCATTGATTCCTATATACCCTGCTGGATGTTAGTCAGACCCACTATTAGGACACATAGCCACATAATAATCTACCTTAATTACTATGTCAGCCACATCCTTTCCGTTTTCTACATCCAAGGTTATAATCTATGTTACTCCTCAACTCTTGTTCAATAATTATGAGCGGAGGTTTGTTTAGAATGCTTGGATTTATTCTACTATTTTTTTGGATATAGTTGTTTTGTGCATGATCCTATGTAGTGTGCAAAAGACTAATTTTTTGGGGAACAAGTTTGAATTTTCTAGATTATTTGTTTATATCATTTCAAAATCAGATAAACTGCACTGCATCTGCGTACCTTTAGCCTGTATGTAGTTCAGCACTTCAGCTTTGGCCGGTGTTGAGGTTTTAAATTGCTACTCGATGAGCAGTGACAACTCTGTATCATAACATAGATTTTCTAATAGCTCGAAAGGAAACCTCAGCCATTTGAAGCATTATTTGAGAGTTAATCCAAAAAAAAAACCACCACATTATGATGACAGAGATTGGGAGGCTGTAGTACTAGCATTAACCTTCCACTTTATTCTCTCCCTCATTTCTATGGTCCATGAAGTACAAAGGTGGGAAAGTCAGAAATCTTACGTGAGTTCAATCTAATATGAGAGTTTTACTTATTTGGGCCTTAAGGAAGCTAAAGATTTAGCTGTGAATGAAAGATGAATGATTTGGGGAAAAGAGTTTTTTTTACACGATGAAATGGAAGGTATATAATGATATAGACTTTTTAAAGTAAATCAATTATGTTTTAAAGTAAATTGAAAGATTAAAATTATGATATCTCAATTTCTTAGCTTCCTCGTTTCTATGTCATGGTTCTTTGGTTGGTACTCTGTTATTAAGAGCTTGTATGTGTTGGATTTGTCTACTCTTAATTTTTGCTTTGTTGTTAGGAAACCTTGTTGTTGTATACAGGTGCTTAGAGTATGTTATAATTGCTTTCGGATCGAAGCTTGTATGTATGTTAAATGTGCTTTGTTTTTTATAATGTCGGGGCTTGGATTTATGGGGCTATAGGCTATTAAAATCTACTCTAGCAACAGTGGATGTTGTATATAACTGTTTTTGTCAATGGCAGGACTATGTATGCTTAATGCTTTAGTTAGGGTCCTTAACTACTGCTACACTTGAAGTACAAAAGAAGGTCTTAAAGATCATAGAGAGCACTTCCTAAGCATGCCTTATCATAAATCTAAATTGATTAGAGTTTATAGATGGATATATACGAGTTGTTAGTATAGCTCGAAAGAAAACAAAGTTTGGAATGACATTCTAGCAACATGTGTGTAAATTTATAAGATAATGGTTATTTATTATTTTGGGATTTGATTCAAAATAGCTGAACTCTGAACCAGTTCCCCAAACTGCTAAATTTCCTTTTCTTTTGGTTTGGTTGCTGATTTTTCATCCTTGCCTGTTGTTGCTACATTTGTGTTTGAAGTACCACCGTTCTGTTCTTTGTGCAAAATTTCTGGACCAGAACGATATTATGGAGAACTCAGTTTACGAAACTTGCTTATTGCTGCTACATTTGTGTTTGATGTACCACGTTCTTTTTGCATGAGCTCTTGACTTGAACAGTATGTAGAAGAACTGAGTTTGCAAAACTTGACCTGAACCTATTTGATGTTAGCGTTTGGCTTATAAGCTAGAACTATCGACAAACCAGGAGATAACTACGAATCAACCAAAATTTTTTGGTCAATTCGTTTGACAGCTCAAGTAGCTTCAATTTTTTTTATATAATAGCTGAAATTATGGTTTTCGTAGTGTCAAAGCACTCTAGATCTCATTGGCAATATTTTTCTGATTTGGTAGCTGTTCTTTAGCTGTGTGTAAAATAAAATAGAGAGAATTATTTTATCAGGAGTAGAAGCGAAAGCAAGCTAGTCAGCCACCAACTACAGAGAACAATGGCATCATTTCAACTATCCGTTGCCTGCATTATTATCTTTTGACCATTCCAAGCATAGTTCTTTTTTTGTTGATAGCATCACATATATTTTCTTTAATAAATAAATATTTCACCACTAAAATTAATGATTGTATAAAATTATTGGTCAAAAGTCGTCTTAATTTCTGTTAAATTATTACTAGTATATCTTTATATCCCATTTCATATAATAACAATAAATAATACACCAAGGTATATAGAAGTATTATTATTATTATGATTATTATAAAGTTGATTGACAAAGTCGTGTTGGATAATACTCGTACTACAACAAGTAAAACTCAGTTTTCAGTGAGTTAGGTTTTTCTTTTTGAAGTATGTGGTACCCTGGAATATCTTAAAGGAGCAAATCGGCAATGACTCAGTCATATGGCCTTATATCCTTCGTTCTGCTAAACTGTGTGTTTGAGTCACTAGTGACCATGGCATAAGCCTCTGCATCAAAACAGAAAAAAACACCACAGACAAAATACAACCAGAAAAAACAGAAAACCAATAAGGAAACAAACAGAAACTAGCTTGCATTCCTAAGTTGAAACAACCATCTGACTTGGGCTCTTGTCCATCTTCTGTTTATTAGTTGCTGGCTTCTGTTTATAGATGCAACATTGTAGATTAAGTTACCTTACATTTTTTTTTGGTTTTTTTGTAACAGTGCTATGGATTCTTCAGTTGCTACTGATATTAACAATGCTAAAGATTATACAGATGTACATTTGGAAAGGATAATGTACGTGTTTTGTTATTTCCTTATTTTATGTTGTCTTATTAAATGCTTGTTGATTTAATGAATTATTAAAGAAATGCTTGCTAATTTGACATATGAGAAAATAACTATATGCTTATTTTCTAAATGAGCAAAAAACTGTTTGCTCATTTCCCAAATGAGCAAAAAACTGGGAAATGAGCAACTAACTATTTGCTCATTTCATAAATGAACATCTATGTGTTTGCTCATTTCACAAATGAACATCTATGTTTTTGCTCATTTGTGTAAAATTAGCAACTAAATATTTGCTCATTTGACAAATGAGCAACTAAGTATTTGCTCATTTGTTAAATTAGCAACTAAGTATTTGCTCATTTGACAAATGAGCAACTATCTATTTTGCTTATTTTAGAAATAAGTAACAAATTATTTGCTAATTTAACAAATGAGCAAACTAATGTTTGCTCATTTCAAAAATGAGCAAACTAATGTTTGCTCATTTCACAAATGAGCAACTAACTATTTGTTCATTTGAGAAATGAGCATCTATGTTTTCCTTATTCGTTAAATCTATGTGATATTTGACTTTTTTTTATGATATTGTATCAGCAGGAATTCTATTGAAAAGGAGTCTGGTGCGAATGCCGGTTCATCAGGGGCGGCTACTGTCGATGCCGGTTCATCAGGGGCTCCTGACGAGGCTGGTTCACCAGGGGTTGCTGCCGAGGCTGGTTCATCAGGGGCTGGTGCCGAGGCTGGTTCACCAGGGGTTGCTGCCGAGGCTGGTTCATCAGGGGCTGTTGCCGAGGCAGGTTCATCAGGGGCTCTAGTGGCAGAGGAGAAGATCAGTGAAAAGAAGAAAAAGAAAATCAAAGTAGTTGCTACAAAGGGTAAAGCAAAAAAGGTTGAAAAAAGAGTGAAAGAAAAGCATAATGTGAAGTTTGAGGATCCAGACAGTGAAGATGCTGTTGATGAAGTGCAGAAATCAAAATCTGTTGTTTATGGGACGTTGCGTAATAGGATGTCACCTTCATCTGTTGTTAATGTTTTTAAGGAGTTTTCTGAAGATCAGTTGACTGCCATTAGAGCTATAGGATTTGGGTCTTTGGAGTTTTTGAAAGTGTCCCAACTGCCTTTGCAATTGGGTTTTTGGTTAGTCAAGCACTTTGATGCTCATAGTTGTACGTTGAATATTCCTGATTCCGATCCTTTCAAAATTACGGAACAACATGTACATGATGTCCTAGGGCTGCCAGCTGGAGGCATGGAGATGGATGCTAATCTTTTTTCAAAGGATGATAAAGTTATTAACCAGTGGAAAAAACAGTTCCCAAAGAACTCATTATCTGTGAACATTGGGGAACTTTCAATGTACTTGAAGAACCATAAATCAGCTGGGCCAATGTTCAAACGCAATTTCGTAGTTCTTTGTGTTTCCACTTTAATGTCAGGTAGTTTTTTCATTTTCATATTTCTTATTTTAATTTCATTTTGTTCATTTTAATTTCATTTTGCTCATTTTAGTTTCATTTTGCTCATTTTAGTTTTTGTTTGATCATATTTTTTTAATTTTGTTATTTTATGTTAAGAGGACAAAACAAGAATGTTAATCATGACGTTCTCAGATATTTGAGTAATGTTGCTAAAATCAAGGATTTAAATTGGTCGAAGTTTATCCTTGATTCTCTTGTGAAGGCGAAGATCAAATGGGATGAGCTTCCTACTCGCTACTTTCCAGGATCTTTATTATTTCTTATGGTATGTTTTTATGTGTTGCATTTTATTGTTTGAAAAATAGCAGGATCACCTGCAACTCCCTTCCTCCCTTAAACAAGAACACACACACACACTTACACACACACACACACATACACATACACATAAATACACATATACAAGCACACAAACACACATATATGCACACACACACTGACACTGACACACACACACATATGTGCACACACACACAGAGATACACACACACACACACACAGACAGATGCACATACATACATGCACTCACAACCTATAATAGAATCTGAAATCAGAATTGAAATGTGTGGGTAGGTTTCAGTAAGGGCTGGTTCTGGTATTTTCTAAGTTTTATTTTTTTATTTTTTATGCATTAACTGTTATTTATTTGTTTAATTTTAATGTACTAATCTTTTCTATCTTACTTGTTTGTAGCTTTTATATGTTGATCATTTTGTCATTGAGGAAGTTAGAGCGAAACGAGAAACTCCTGTTCTCAAAGGCTGGACAACGAATATGTTGTCTAGCCGTGAGAAATTGAAAATTTTTAAGGGGAGGCTTGGAATTTTCGATAAAAATCTGAAGGTTGTTGGTCCTTCTGGCAGCAAACAACCAAAAATGGTATTTCACTTTCAATCAATACTTAGCTTTTTTGCCTTTTAGAATTAAATTGAATTGGACCAAATCTTGTTAGATTTCATTGCAAACGATCCCAACTTATTCTGACTTTTTTTTTTTTTTTTTTTTTTTTTTGCATTCAGGAAACATCTGTTCCAACTGTTCCACAAACTAATGAAGATGTTGAAGTAGATCCAAAGAAGGTATTTATATGATTTTTAATGTAGATCTAATATTAATTTATTTTGTTGTTTAATGACATCCATTCTAACTCAATGTTCTGAATTCTATTCTGTGAAGTTTGGTTGGCAAAATTGGGTTGTGGAGTATCAGCAACAGTTGAATAATGATGCAATGTGGCACTCTATTATGGCGCATCAATGGAGTAGAAATCAGCAAAAAATTAATTGCTCATTTGACAAATGAGCAAATATTTTACCATTGATTTTTTATTTATGTTTTTTTAATTTAGACTTTTGTTTTATATTTATCTTATTTATTTATGTTTTTTTTCTAAAAATGCTTAATGGATCTTGCAGCGTCTTCAACTAAGCTGGTGTTGGCATACATGGACTTTCATGAAAAACATGAACTAGCTGTGAAGCATTTTCCTCACAATGAGAAAATACGAAAGCTGAAGGAAGATGCAATGGGTATTTGTGACGAGCAAAGATTGAGTTCTCAAGCTATGCCAGAAAATCATAGCTTTTCTTTAAGCCAAGACGATGAGTATTGGCAAGATCTAGCCGTCATTGAAGCTTGGGATAGATTTTCCAAGATTTCTGCTAATGAGAAGAATGTTGAATCCTCAGTCTTTGCTAGGGCTGATTGTCCAACCGTGTTCAGATAGCAAATAGTCTTTCTGAAAATGAAGGTCCTGCTATTGTAGTTGAAACTGAAAAAGTTGTAGGAGGTTCAAGTATTCGATCTGGTTTGAGATCTTCAGTTAAAAAAGGATTTGGAACTCCTACTTTCAGTTTAGGATTTGATGATCCGGAGAACTCCCCAACTATTGTACAACCTTTAGTAGCTGCTGATGCTGATGTTCCTGTACGACCTTCAGTTGTTGCCGATGCTGATGTTCCTTGTGCTGTAGGTGGTGCTGATGTTCCTGTTTTGAAGAAGCGTAAAGTTCAACCATCAATGCTGCTTAGATCACCTTTTAAGGCACGGATTATCAACATTTACACTACATTATCAGAAGTTCAGAAAACTGTCTTGGAAGCTCTGTTTGATGATGATAAAAATCGTTTGTAAGTATTTTTTTTATTATAGAATTTGCTATCTTGTATACTAATTCATATTTTCTTTAGTGATATTAACTTTTTAATTCCTTTATGCAGTGATCTAGTCTTTTTATCCAAAGTTAATGGAGTGCATGATGTTGAAGTCATGAGATTTCAACTTGAAAAGCTGTATACTCACCTTAAAATTGATTCAGAAATCATTAATGCTTGGTGTAGTATTTTGAATTATAATGAGCAATTTAGAGACTCAAGTTCTCCTGCTCGTTTCTTTTTTAATGTTACTGCTACTGTAAGTTCATATTCTTTAATTTATTTTATTTTATTGAAGTATTTTACAGTATTCCAGTTGTATTAATTTTTTTTTTAAACATGTAGGAGTGTCTTGTTCATTATGAGATTGATTCTGTTAGTTATCGGAATACTATGTTTCGTGAGGTTGCTCAGAAGTTATACAGCCAAAGTGTTGTCCCAAAGAAGGAAATTCAACTTTTCTTCTTTCCAGTTTACGAAATAGGTCATTATTTCTTGGTATGTTTCAACACTACCACAGAGCATGGTAATATTGAGTTTATTGATTATAGTGAAGATTCCGGAGATCATACACAGCTTTTAAAACATTTGGTACGGTTTAAAAGTTAATTTCTATTAACATTATGTTTGCTTATTTCAGTAAAATTATTAGATTTTAAAAATATCTATTATCTTTTCTCATTTGACATGTTTATTTTCAGAGAAGTGCATTTTGCAATTTTATGCAATATGAAGGAAATGTACAGAGCTCTGTGTTGTCAAGTGATTCAAGCGCATGGAGCATGTTACACTTGATTCTCCTTGGAAGTCTACAGATAATAATCATTTGCACTGTGGAATTGCATTGATGAGGATTATGGAAACATACATGGGTTTGTCAAAGTGGGATTCAGGTTTGAAGAAGAATAATGTAAGTCTTTCATCTTATATGAATTGTCCTTAGATACTTGTTTGCTGGATTTTACAAGGCGTACAATTTTTACTTGTTAATTTCTAATACTCTCTGAGTTTATAAGAATATGGATATGTAAAGTGCAAATTTGAATGATAAAGAAAATTCATGATAATAAAAGGATATTAGTATGTTTATATGCACCACCAAAATATTTTTTTTATTATTCTTATATAGAAATTTAAATAAATCTTGCTCATTTGTCAAATGAGCAGCCAATAATTTGCTCATATTTCAAATGAGCAAGCAATTATTTGACTGAATTAATTTGAATTCTGTTTATTGTTTGAAAAATAGCAGGATCACCTGCAACCCCCTTCCTCCCTTAAACAAGAACACACACACACACACACACTTACACACACATATACACATAAATACACATACACACGCACACAGATACACACACAGACACACACATAGATACACACACAGACACACACACATAGATACACACACAGACACACAGACAGATGCACATATACACACACTGACACAGACACACACACAGAAACACATGCACATACTTAAACTGGCATCAACTAGTGCTCTAGGCTGTGGATTATGCATCCTTGATAAGTGAAATCTTCCAAGCTTCCATCTGTTTATGCATAGCAGAAAAGGTATCACACTAAGGCAGCTTCCTACTCTGGTTTTTTTTTTTCTCTTGAAGTAGAGGCTTTGCACCAACATTTCAATAATTAAAAAAACAGGACATAATTTCCACAACTTCTAATAGAATTCTGTTTATGTCCAATATAAGTAGCAGATGGTTCTGAGTGACCTTGCACACCAATCATCCACCTTCCCTTTTCCAACTCAGATGAAAATTGGACTATAAACTGTAGAGTAATTGAACCAAAATTCAGTGAACCCGGTGAACCTTTAGCAAGATTTCAAGCTACTTTTCTTTTTTAAATAAATGTAAAGGAATCAGAATTTGGGTTTCTTATTACTTATTCTATTCTTCTTCTACGTGCTTCGTGCTTCACCCTGCTTTATACATTTATATTTTTTAAAATTTTCTTGTTTTATTTTTTCTTTCCTATTTCTTACAGGTGATAATCATGGAAAAACTTTGTGTGAAGTACACCTTGACAATAATTTCAAGCGAAATAAACACAATTCAATCCGTTAAAGAAATTCCTCAAAAGAAGAAAAAGCAGAAGAAAGTTTCTCCTAAGACTGAAGAAGAAAAAGTTGAAGAACAAAAGGGTGAAGAAGAAAAAGCTTAAGATGAAAAGGCTACTTGTTAGTGTTACCTCAATATTTTGCTTGGTGTAGTATTGATTAAGGTGTTGACATAGCTTTCTAATTTTAGGGAAGTAGAGAAACAATGATTTAATCAACTTGTAAATTGTTATTTTTTGAATGATGTAAAAATGGTGACTTTTGATTATGGTGACTTTTGTGTTTACCTGAAATGCTTTGTCATTTATATTTACCGTTTATTTGAACTATTTGTTGATTTACAAATGAGCAACGAACTATTTGAGCAAATAAACATTTGCTTATTTGCTTATTTGAGCAAATAAACAAAGAACAATTATTTGCTCAAGGGTAGAGCAAATTATTCTTTGCTCATTTGACAAATGAGCAACTAACTATTTGCTCAATTGACAAATGAGCAAAGAATAATTAACTCATTTGAAAAATAAACAAAGAACAAATTACTCATTTGACAAATGAGCAAAGAATAATTTGCTCATTTAACAAATGAGCGAAGAAATGCTTGTTTATTTAATGAATGGTTAAAAATAAATTTTGCTTATTTGACAAATGAGCAACTAACTATTTGCTCATTTGCTAAATGAGCAAAAAATTGATTGTTCATTTTCCAAATGAGTAAATAATTGATTCTGTTAAGAAATATAAAATCAACAGAATATTAACAAAATTTAAAACACAAATTTCCAGGATCTTTATTATTTCTTATGGTATTTTTTTATGTGTTGCATTTTATTGTTTGAAAAATAGCAGGATCACCTGCAACCCCCTTCCTCCCTTAAACAAGAACACACACACACACACTTACACACACATATACACATAAATACACATACACACGCACACAGACACACATATATGCATTCACACACACTGACACAGACACACACAAACAGATACACACACAAACAGATACACACATAGATACACACAGATACACACACACACAGATACACACACAGACACACGCACATACAGATGCACATACACACACACTGACACAGACACACACACAGACACACACGCAGACACACACAGAAATAGATGCACATACTTACACGCACTCACAACCTGTAATACAATCTGAAATCAGATTTTGTAATTAGATTCAGAATTAGATTTTGAAATTAATTTATGGAATCAGAATTATGATCAGCTACTGAATTGAAATGTTTAATATATAATGAGGAGATGTGCCAAAAATATTAAATCTTATATTTATGTAAAGTTATCATTACACTTTTTTTGGACAATTTCTAATATCATGGTGACTCAATTCACCACAACCTCTACATAATCTCTTCTTTTTCTGGTTTTGTTCTACAACCTTTTCTTTTTCTCCCTTCAGCCTTTTTGCACTTCTACCTCTTGTTTCAACATTTGGCACATCAATCCCAGCCCCTTTCTCTTTTGAAGTCTCTTCATTTGATACATGAACTCCAGTCCCTTTATTCTTTGAAATTTTTGGAGGTTTGACAATTATTTCAGTTGGCACACTAGCTCCAATCAATAGCTCAATGTCTTGTGCTTTGTTGTTTGCACTTCATGTTGTTTCATTATTTCTTGCAATCCTCTTAGCTTCCAAATCCTTTCTTATTCCTTGAAGATTTATCACAAGATCTTGAATATCTTCATCATTTCCTTCTTCCAAACTTACACAAGTGTGTATCTCTGACCATAAGTCATTTAACAATTTTTTCTTGTCAATTAAATTAGCACATTGCTCCAACATGTTTCCACCCAAGTCAAAAATTGGTTTTTTTAATGCCATAGTAGTCCATCTGTGTAGCATATACTGCTCAGGAATGGTTTCAAACCTTTTTGCTTTCCAAACCCAAATCATATGTCTGCATGGAATACCTTGTCTATAAAACAACTTGCAAGAACATGTGGTGTCATAGTTAGTTGGATTAAACACAACATCAAATGTTCTAATTCGATTTCCTTCACTTACTTTTGCAACTTCCAATCCATTTTCTTTCTTCAATTCATCAACACCACAAGAAAAACAAGCAATTTCAACCTCATATTGAAATTCATAAAAGACAGAGTTAGTATATAAATGCGAGGCATGCTTTTCTATCCCTAGTGGTGTTTTGCACTCAGGATATTTGTGCTTTGAATCATTATCATTCTGACCTTGAGTGTGTCTCTGGGCATCAATTGCAGCTTCATATCTCAAGTAAAACTCAACAAGTGACACATGAGGATTGATAAAGGAGCAGAAAAAGTTGTTTTCGCTTTAGGATCTTGATGTTGTACGCATTATTCCTCCAAGGAACACATCTCTGAAATACGCCGGAATCCACTTGTTCCTTATCTTGTACATATAACCTAACCACTCATGTTCTTCCAAGTGGTATTCAACCATCACCTTGTTCCATCTTTCTTCAAACTCAGCAGGTTCAATTTCAAGATGCCAAACACAAGCACATAATTTTTTTAGGAAACCAGTTTCTTCTTGCATGATTGATTTCTCCACCTTATCTGGTAACTTTTTCATTATGTGCCACATACAGAACCGATGTTCAGTCTTGTTAAACACACTTTTAACAACAATTTTCATTGCTGGATCTTGATCTGTAATCATACAATTCAGTTCATTTCCACCCATTGCTTTAAGAAATGATCTGAACAACCACTCAAATGACACTATATCTTCCTTTGCTATGAAACCAGCAGCAAAAGTAATGCAGCTCTTATGATGGTCAACCCCTGTAAATGGAGTAAACACCATGTTGTACCTGTTTACACATACAGATTAAATTTTAAATGATCAAATAATTACACGCACACATACATAGACACACATGTACTTAGACACAGACACACACACGCACACACACACACACATACACATACATACACGCCCTCACAATCTGTAATAGAATCTGAAATCAGATTATGAAATCAAAATTGTCATCAGCTACTGAAATAATTCAATGCTCATTTGACAAATGAGCAAATAATTGATTGCTCATTTGTCAAATGAGCTTATAACTCAATGCTAATTTGTGAAATAAGCAAACAATTGTTTGCTTTTTTGTCAAATGAGCAAATAATTGAATGCTCATTTCTGAAATGAGCAAATAAGTCAATGCTCATTTGTGAAATAAGCAAACAATTATACTAAGTTCATTTAAAACAAAGTTATTAATTTAAGCTATAGTTATAACATAAAAATGAATTGTGATTTTTATGAATTACTTATTGGTTTGGTATGTGGTATCAAAGGATACCATATCACCAAAAAGAGCGTAACTCTTTTACAAAGGGGGTCAGCCCATAATGCTCTACAAAGGCAATAATCTTCATCCATCTCAAAATCAAAGAAAAAAGCGCTCCACATTAGCTTTTTGTTGGTAAAGTTATCCACGAACATTTGAGCATCACTTCCTTGAATGTATGCTTTCAAATCTCTATGAAATTTTTTGAAATCTTGCTTAGATGCACCGATGTTATCATATCCTTGATAGGCCGTCGTCGAGCCTACCAAAGATAATAATTCCTATCTTGGTCTCACTAACAATAGTAAGGGTAAGAAAGGGTCGAACCCAAGAGAGGCGTTGAATCAA